GGTTCAAAACCAGACAGAAAGGGTTTTTGTAGGTTTATGCATCTCTTGGGGTGCAGTGAGAAAACAAGAGCCTTCCTCTTTCGTGATGGTTCATTTGTCAATTGACTTCAATGTAGGCTTCTTTGAAATCGAAGCTACTTTACTTCAATTACCAATTGGCAGTTCTATGGCGTAATGCACATGTCAAACTCAAGGCCCGCGGGCCACATGTGGCCCCCCAGCATTTTATAGGCCAATGATTGACTTAAAATAGGTTTTGAGCACAAATTGACTACAAACTACATTTCAACCAAAGGTTTGTATTCCGCTTCCTAACCAGATGCTCCAAAGCGTCCGGTCCATAACTCTTCAACATGCTGTCAGCTCCCGATCAGAAAGATGCATTTAGTTCAGAGACCATGAGATGATATTCAGAAAGAATTTTTTTAATTAATTGATTTCAGTTGCCTCTGAGACTAAATCTTTGCATAAAGTCTATAATGTCTGCCCATGTGACTTGTTTTTATCATTTGTTTGCTTACCTTTAAACACTGATTTAAATATTGTAATTTTTCAACAGAGCAGTAATTTTACATCCATGGAAACTCAAATGTAATATTTAAAACTTCATTACATAAAACCAGTTATTTAACAATATGAGGTGGTGTTTAATTTATTTCTAACATTGTATTTTTATACATTTATGCTAGGGGTGCCCAAGTCTAGTTTTCCAGAGCTACCATCTGCAGCTTTAGATGCTTTCCTTCTCTAACACACCTGGACCATTGACTCATTATAAGCCTCTACAGACCTGAATGTTGTAAGTCAACCTTTTGTCTGGGGTGTTTTAGCAGGGATGCCCTCCTGATTTGTACCGTCAATGTGGCCCGTTGAGGGTGGCCAATATGCTGAAGTGGCCCTCGGTGAAATTGAGTTTGACACCCCTGTTGTAGAGAATCTTTCTTTGCAGGAACAGCTCTGATTGCAGAAAGCAGCTGCTGCTGTGTATTCTGCTTGGCGCTCTGGATTAAACAGTGTTGCTAACATACCAACTCACATGTCTGTCTTTACTTGTAGGTTGCATGTCTGCAGGACTTCTTTGGTGAGGAGGATATTTTTGTGGCCTGTGGACCAGAGAAGTTCCGCTACCATGACGACTTGATGTTGGATGAGAGTGGTAAGGGAAAAGGTGCTCTACGAAAATTTTTATTGTTTCTTGCTGAAGTTACAAACTCAGAATTATACAACTTGGTCAACAATACAGGCACGTATTTGTTGATAGCAATACATTTTTTGCAATAAAAATTGGGCCATCCCAGAAAGGAGATATTGATGTGAGATTCTCAGAAACCTGCTCACATTGCTCAGCTCCACAGCTGTGTCGTACATGTTCCTATACCTTATGTCATAGATGAACGCCAGTTTGAAAAATCCTAACTCTTTTTTCATGCTTTATTTTGGTTTACCACATTAAATCCTGATAAAACACAGACCGAATGTGAACATTTTCAATGTATATACAGAGCTTTGCAAGACACTAAATGCTTTGCGTACAAGCAGAATGGATGTACTGACACATTTATTCTTTATTTATGTGTTTGCATCTCCTTGAGTTGTCCCTTTTGCATTTTAAGAGCCAGACCAGAAGGAGATGTGCTACAGATTTCCCTGCATGCGTTATATGCATTCTTTTCAGCATTCGAATCACTCATTCACAATGGGAACCAGAGGGGAAACAAACATTCAGTCACATAAAAAGCAGTTATCTGAATCCTTTCAGGGTCTGTTGATCTAATTAAATGAAGAACAAGCTATAATTACGGAGAAGCATAAACTGATTAGTACAGTCTAACACAACAACATTCTCTGTGGAAATGTATTGCCACTAGCAAGTGGCAGGAAACAGCCTCCTTAAATACAAACATTTACCATGGGATGTGACTTCTGTGATTAATGAACCTGATGTAAAATCCATCTGCTTTGACTATCGCTTCATTTCCTGAAGGACTGCCATCTTTCTGCTTCAGGTTACGAAAGAAATGAAGTCCGTGCTGCGATGTGTGCTGATCCTTCTTTTCTTATCCCTCCTCTTGTCTCCTGTTCTTGTCTCACCTCTTACAACCCCGCTCCCTTTCTTTCCATCTTACCATCACGGCCCACTGAGGATACGCTCTGTCCTCACTTCACCCATCTGTGATTTGCTGTCTGCTTCTCCTTCTGTTGCCATTTAGTGCTCATCTGTATTCTTTCCCTCCTCTGCTCCCACATGAATCAGTTTGTGCTGGCTTTTGTTCAAATTTTATTCTGTACATTTGTCTAATTTGTAGCCCTTTATTCACCAAATAAAGTCCATCCAATCTGAGCCATCCACCTCTTCTCATTATTCTTTTTTTTTTGTGCACCATTTTTTCTAATTTAATTTCCAAAACATAATACTTACCTGAATCCATTAGCCAGTCTTTCTTTGGTGACCTTCTTCCCTCTTGAGAAAAGCCACAAAGCAACCACCTACATGCAGCAGTGGGGGTTTTATGGTTTTGAATTTGTATTATCTGGAATTATTGATAATTATCTCCAGAAGTGGGGATCTTAGCAGTCAGTCTACTTCTTACTGCATCTTTCTGATTAAACACTCTTTCCTTTTCAATGTTGGCATCAGTAGTAAAGCTGGAACATACAGGTAAAGCACACATCTGTACCGTTGCCCTCCTGTTAATGTTCAAGTTTACAAAAGAGCATGGATATTTTTTCATACTGGATGGAGTCAGATTTTATATCATAACACATTCTTAAAGAAACAAAGCTATCTGTCTGAATGAACAAAAATGTGTCTTATAATTTAAAAAAATTAATCATGATATGGAGACCCATTTTTCTGTGCTTCATTGTGAGCTTAGGAGATTTCCTCTCTCTTTTTATCATCAGAAGACACCTGAGTAAACACAAAATGCAGTTTTCAAATTATGATTAAATCGTTCAGCTATCCAAAGCAACTTGCTCCTAAAAACTGGTTGTGTCACTCTTGGCAGCAAAAACCACCATCATGCTTTTCTGTCTGGATGAATTTTGATCCCCTCTTCTTTGCAGAATTATTTAAATTCAGGTGGCATTGCAAGGTTTGAAGCATGAAATGCCTATGTCATGCCTCAGCTCCTCATTTAAGTCTGGACTTTAAATGAGCCGCTCCAACCTTCAAAATGAATAAACCTTCATTTTGAAGGTTTTTTTTCAGCCATTCAGAGTTGGACTTCATGGTGTGCTTTGGATTATTGTCTGGCAGCCTAATCCTATGTTATGTTAGTTTTATGGCAGGTGTAACATGATACATACCTTCCAAAAAGTTAAACTTTTCCACTTCTTGAGGATCATGTGTTTTTGTAAATGTAAGATTGGACTTTTGTGTTCTTCTTTTGTCAGCTGTGGCTTTTGTCTTGGAACTCACCCAAGTCAAATTAAGTTTTTTTTTTTTGTTTTGTTTTTTTATGAGCAATCAAAAATAATTACACTTCAGATAAGGATAATTATGAAAACCACCTGAGAGAATAATTATTGTAATCAAGGGTTAGTTTTATTATTAACCTCCTCCCTAATGGTTTGATTAAGTAAACAGAGCTGAAACAATGCACTATGACATAGAGTTGTATCAACCAGAAATCAAATGTTCTTAATATTATCTAAGTTGATTAAAGGTTAACTTTAATTTAATTTGCTGGTCTTTGCAGAAAATTGTTTCTCAGGGTAGAATAATCCGGTGTAATGTTGATTTAATGGGGTTAGTTTTGGAGAAGTAATTTGATTTCTGAACCACCTTATAATCCATCAGCTTCCAGCACCAGCATGAAAATAGAATGGTTACTGTGGGTCAGATGAGGCCATCTACTATCTAGAAAGCACTTGTATTTCTGCTCTACTTATAGTTCTGCCACCTCAGTCTCTCTGGGGGGAAAGTAAGCAGCAACTCCAAGGAAGGTGTCCGAAGCTTACGCCTGAGAAGGCTGGCAGTACCATCATCTGCTGATGCTAGCTTTTGAAAGGCCAGAGTCCTTTTAGTTTGGATTCAGAACTGGGTGTTGTTCTTAACAAACCAAGTAATGAAACAGACTATATCGTAGGCAAGAGGAGAAAACTAACTAAAACTTTGCAGAAAACGTACATAGAAAACATCAGATCTGACAAACTGATCTAACTTCTCAAGTTTGTAAAACAAAAACAAAAAAAAACAAAAGAACAGTTATCCCTTAGTGTTAAATCGGTATTCTGATATTAAATTTAAAAAGTTCCAATTTCTTGGTCTTTTACTACTTGCCATGTAACAATCACTTAAATCAAAGGTAGAAAAAAATGTCCTTACTTTGCATTTTTCTCGTTTTTGCAAAACTTTAGAATTATGTGTTGTTTTTTTTAATGGAATTACCAAAGCAAGACTTTTTTCACAGTATCAATTTATTCTGTGTTATGCAATTATTTTTATGGCTAATTTCAGTTACAAAAGCTTTTAATAGAGTGGAAAACACGAACAACCAATTTTTCTCACCCAGGAAAATGTGTGAAGGGACTCAGCAGGTTAAATATGGAAGTATACAGATTCTGTGTTGCCAACCAATTCAGTACATTTTTTTTCCATTCAGTATCCACCTCAGGTAGAACTTGTCCTGGCTGATGCTATGCCACGTTAAGATAAACAGCTTGTCAACCTAGCAGGGCTGTGTCCAGGTACAATTCACGTCTGACTTGCTTTTTTTTTTTTTTTTTTTTTACCGCAAACTGAGATAAAATGTGACCTAAGATGTCTGTTTATTTTACATCTTCAAAAAGTAACTAAAAGTTGATTTCCTAACCACTTTTTATGATCTTACATCACTGAAAGATCCTCTTTTTTCCACCCAACACACATCGATCCTGAATTGTCTGTGCCAGGGGATGAGGAGTGTAAGTTAACACCTCTTTATCTGCCGGCAGACAGAGAGCAATATGGAGGAACAGACAGACAGGAACACAGAGTGACAGAGTAAGCAGTAAGGCAGTTGGAAGTGGAGCTGCAGAAGACGTTGCCTCCTCTCAGCATCGCTATAATTATCGCCCCTGCCTCAACTCTGGCACACAGTCATCATGTTAACACTCCGTATTGTACATTAATCACCAGGTTACAGAAAATGTCACACAATCAGCCTCACAGACACACACAGATGAGGTGGATAAGGCCAGACACGCCTGGCAGGCTGCGTATTCTTCCCTTTCCCACTTGTCTGAAATGTTAATGAGCTTTAATGGGGCTCAGTTAATGAGCAGGAGACGAGAAAAGTTTTGGAGGAGAAGGAGGCAGGCAGGTTGGGTGCTGGCGTTCACACGGCTCATTTATTTGGACTGTGTGTCTGTAAAGTACTAGTTCCCCATGAGTCACAGCTGCCACTCCTGAAATGCCGCAATAATTCTGTTTGGAAGGCGAGCCCGGAGAAGGTCAGGACTCATTTTTCCTGAGGATCCGAAGCTAAACCCAATTACGGCTGGATTCATAGGTTATCATTTCTCTGTTAACAATGCAGGCTTAAATCTAGCCATCAGACCTCCAGAGTTGGAGAACATTTTTAAATGCTAATTTTTTTCTCAATTTAGACACGATTTGAGCAGCTATATTTGTCTGTGCCCACCAAATTGCCTCTGAATGCATGTTTATGCTGTTTGTGCTTGCAGAGTGCCGCATGATGAAGTCAGTGACCTATGGCAAGATGTCAGGCTCAGGCTCTGTCAATCGATGCTCTCCCAGGACTGTCATCCAATCACATCGCAGCAAGTCCCCAGCTTCTGGTAAAGTGTTTCTCTTTTTCCTCTTCATTTTTGCTAAAGCAATTTTGCTTCAGTGTCATGTAATGTACAGCACCTTGCAAAAAAAAAAAAAAAAGACAACTTAAACTCTTTCACAATTTGTCACATTGCAAGCAAAAACTCCCGCAAGTTTTAATAGCATTTTAATGTTAGACAAGCACAATATGGAGGGAAAAAGATGCATTTCTTCCAATGTTTTAATGAAAATCACTTGAAAAGTGTGTTTTTAACCAGCTGAGCTAACTGCTTTCAGAAATCTAATTAATAGAGTTCAGACAGACAAACCCTGTTTGCAAATGATATCCTAGTTTATGTCTAAAATCCCCCGTGTGGAGAAAAGAAACACTACACATCACTTTGAACCAACAAGACCGCATCATGCTGTGCAGATGCCTTTCTTTAGCAGGGATAGGAAAGTCTTGTAAAGTGGATAGTCAATGGATAGATGCAGAAAAATACAAAACAAAACCATGAGCTGGAATTACAACGATTGATTTCTTTTAACTTTTCAATTATATGCTACTTTGTGTTGGTCTTCGACATTATATGCAAACAAGATTTTCATTGTAACAATGTGAAAAAAGTTCATGCGGCACAAATACAAAGCACCGTAGTTCACCGAGTTCTTCTAACCTTCGTTTCTGTGTTTGTACATGAGGAGTGTGTGTGGTGGCACCGACCCAGTGGAAATAATTGGGGTGTGTTTGTGTCGCGATACTCCCTCGTCTTTATTTTTCTTATGTTATCCAGCTCATTACTTCCATCCATGTCGCAGCACAGTGTGAATAAACGCTGTAATGAAATCAGTGCTATGCAGACTGTCTGGCAGTGTTCACATACATGCGAGCCGTGTCTCAGTGCATGCAAAATGCAAATTGAAATGAGACGAGATCCAGCTGATTTCACCCGGGGGGGGGGGAATGCAAGCAGGGATGAGAGAGGTAACAAAAGAGAGATGAGATGGAGAGAGAGGGAAGATAAGAGGGCTGGTGACTCAATCCTGCAGCTCCACACAAACTGCTCCTCACCTGACATACTAATGAAATGTCATGAAACATTAAGAGTGTGCACACACACTGTGCTTAGTTTGTGCCTAATAACACATCCATAAAACTCCGTTAGAGTTTTATGGATGTCATAAATCCCAATAAATGGATGTCAAACATCCCAACAAATCCCAATAAATGAATATTAATTCATAGAAATTAATGGAGTTCTCACTAATGCACCAGCATTGTTGTGTGCCATTCATTTCGGCTTAATGGCAGTGAGGGGTTTGTGATTAATTTTCAGCTTTAGCAAATATCACTTCGTTCTTTGCCTGATTGCACAGCTTGAGCTTTGACCAGTATTGCCTAGTTGTGCAACAGCACACTTTTTCATTTTGGCTGTAATTATGAAGTTATTGACTATACAGAGACCTACCGGTTTGGGGATGATTCAGTAGGCTGATGCAACCCCCAGAAATTCTACAGAAATGATTTGCTCCACCTGCTTTTTGAAGTCATAACTATGCACAGAAACTTTTTTTTTTATTATTTCTTACAAATATAATTGCAGAATGAAGATGTGAAAAACAAAGTGAGAAGGTGTAGAGAGAAAGATGTTTTTATGTGAAGAGAAGCTTCTGAGTGCTGTCAGACTGAGAACTTTGGGGAAAAGGTTATGAGGGTGAGTCATACAGTCTCTGATCTCACTCGCAGCATCGCATCTGCAACCAAGGTGTACATGTGTGTGTGTGAGAGAGAGAGAGAGAGAAAAAGAGCGAGAGAGAGAAAAAATGAAAAAACAAAAAGTCATGTTGGGTGGGGGGGAAGACTTCTCTTGGTTGCTATGGAAACGCGGCACACTTAGAGCATGTAGCTGGAGACACAATAGGCACCCATATATGGCAGCGACTTCCTATGAAATGGCCGGCTGTGCAGACAGAGCTAACTGACGTTCCCTTCCTGTCTAGAATCCTGAGTCAGACCATCCTGTCTCGTCGCTTTTGTTTAAAAAAAAAAAAAAAAAAGACACCCCACATACCCTCCTGGCTTCACCTCTGCTGTTTAACATCAGATACTGTGATCAGATGTTGTGTTGTTGTTGATTATGTTGTATTTATTTCCTAGAACATTGCCTGACTGTAACAGGAGAGAGGCAGAGAGAGGAGTGACAGCAGGAAAACAACTGATGGATCTGTTGTTTGACCCTCTCCGCTCCTCTCTTGTTTGTTATTACCCCCCCAACCTCCCTCGGTCTCCCCCCCCAACCCCCCCACCCCGTTTAAAAAATACACTGTGCTCACTTCCCTGCAGGACAATTTGTTCTCAAATGAAAAGGAGTCAACATCATCTGCTGCTTTTCACTGTTCATGTGCAGCCGATTCTGCTGCTGTTTTGTGCTCGCAAGAAAGACTCATATGGGCAGAACTTTGTGACACCAGACACCAAATTTGAATAAATGCTTTTAAAAACGGAATCCGAATTGGCGTAATATGAAATTTGATCTATCTGTTTGGAAATGACTCACTAGATTGAAACAGAATTTAATGTTTTGAAGTTCAACTGAATTAATTTGCCAACAATCCTTTATGGAATAAGCCCAGT